ATTTACTTTCCCCCTTAGGGATTCTGGTTCATGGCTTTCCTTTTACTGATTTTAAGGGGGGACTTGACGTTGTAGTTCATTTCACTTGCTGAGAAATTATTACATGCAAACAAACAGCTGTTTTTCCTGCGACTGTCCTTTTGCTTGTTGGTCTGAAGCACAAACATTTCTACTGATTTTTACCAGAAGTCGAGGTCGGCAACCTTTTGCCCCTGCAGGTTGAAGCTTGTGACCCAGCTCCCTGCCACAGGCTGCAAACTGCACTCCCTGGAGAGCTCAAGCTACCTGTACTTACCTACACCGGAGCCACCTGGCCCCTCTGCAGTGAGGGTAACCACGGGTCTGATAGGGCAGCAGGGAGGGCTGGAGAGTGGAGAGGAGGCTCAGTATAGCTGTGCACCGTGCAATCCTCTCTTCCAGGGCAGACCAGAGATCCAAGCTCTTTGCAGGGTGGATCCAAGCCAAGGGCTGTAGGCGGCTGATCTTTGCCTTAAGTCATGGATTTTAAACGCTGATGCTAATTGGCACTGGTGGTAGCCTGGTCACCCCTGTTTTTCCACTAATGTGTTACAGTGAGGCTTTGGGATTTTGCTCCTTGTATCATGAAGCAAAAGTATAAAGCGATTTTGGGGATTCCTTTGGTTAACAAGTGCCTATGAAGACAGGTGACTTGGCTGGATAGCCCAGGAGACCTTCCAGCCCAGTCTGCTTGATGGTGTCCCAAACTCAAGTATTTTTTTTTTAAATACTCTCTTTTATGTATATGTTTTACAGCTGCAGAATATAACTGTTGTCTTTTAGGGCACGGTGTGACCCATGCGCAGGAAGAGGCCTGGAAGAGGACCAGTAGGGATATAGGAGACCTGACTTCAGCTCAAGTTGCAGACCTTCCCAGCAGAAATGGAGCTTCAAAACCTTTTGGAAGAGACTTTAGTTTCTTTGCATGCTGGTCCCTTTGCCAAGGTTTTATACAAGCCATATAAAGGAGAGGGATTTTATGTGGACAAAGGGCATGCACCAACTTTGAAGTGGTGACCATTTGGGAATGCTGGAAAGGAGTTGTGCACTGAGATACTAATGGTAAAAGTGACTTGTTCTCAACAGCTCAGCTTCTCTGCTTTCTTTCCAGAACTGCCTCCTTTTTCTCTTTCAAGGCATCCTTACCAGAAAGAAGTGAGATCCTTCCAACTATCTGTCTCCTAGCAAGTGCTAAAGCTGCCCTCCTGAATGGCAATAGCTACATGCTGCTTATCCCTCGCAGCTACCTTCATTGCCTCTCTGCACTGAGTGCTTCTCTGAGCAAACTGGCATCTTTCTACAAAAATTGACCTTGTCTCTCCCAAGTTGGAAGTCTCCTGTTCTTTTAGGCACAGCACCCTCAGTGACCTTTTTAATACTTAAGTAGTGGCCAGTCTCCAGCACACAGACTAGGCTCCTGAACAGCCCTGTTCAAGGGTAGCAGAAGAGTGCAAAACACATTTCTCCATCCAGGATGCTGATTTTACTAAAACCCTGGAAGATGCTGCAGGGAAAGGAAAGATTTCCACCCCCTGCTTTACCGTACATCAGTCACAGTCAGGTACTTGCTACCGAGCTGGCAAGTTTTACTCCTGGCAAGTGCTGTTCAGCATCCTTGTCCAACAACTACATCCCTACTTAGCTTATCAGCTCTTTACCCATTTATAAAAATGTGTAATTCAAATGTGAAAGCAAATCAGGATGAATCTCATGAATGGAGAATGGGTTGGGGCATCCCACAATCAATACCTGATGTGAGTCAGAAGGAGCTGCAATAACATGGACTTGCAAGGGACAGAAAAAGGTCATGGAGGCTGGAAGCTTAAAAAACGATGGCACTGTTAGAGATTCTCCACTTTAAAGTGCAGTTATCATCAGGAGAGTGTAAAAATGACATCCTAGTAGGCCACATTTATTCCTCCTCCGCAATTTCTATTCAAAATGCACTCAGTCTTCAAGTCAATTGAATGTTGGTTTTTTTTTGTTGTTTTTTTTATAGCTGCCAGCACTGGAAGCTCAACCTGTTACCTGAAAAAGCTGTGTTCTTTCTGCTTATTAAAACATGACCAAGTGTAAAGCTTCTGGAATCAGAAGTGAACTGGCAACGTTGGGGAAGACACAGGAAGCAGAATGTGACATAGCTGGCACATCTCTAGCTACTGGAGAGAGGGAAAAGAAAGCCGTCATTAAACTGGGAACACATGACTCAGGAGGCACTTTGAGACTTGATATTTATGGCACAGAGGTGCCATTTTTATGCAGTTGCTTTCCTGACTGCAGCTATGTTTCTCGGTAGTGCATCGAAGTGAGGATCCAGAAGTCCCTTGCTTAGATCCCAGCCGCAACAGGCTTCCAAGGGATTCATTACAGAGGAAACAGAAAAGCACTCAGAGGATTGATTTAATGTTTCCTCCACTTTGTCAGTCCTAAACTCCAATGCCCTTTGCTAGTCTAAGCAGCCTAAATTAATCTGATTAAGATGGACAAGCATGTCACCTATTTGCTTGTGGGAAGAGTTTGAGGCTCCCTTTACATGTTACATCAGCTACTCATGCAAATTAACTATCACGCCTTAAAAAGGTCCAACCAGCTATAAAGTTAGAGCTGGAAAATGCATAATCATTTTACAGCTGGTTTCTATCCAGCTGTAATATGCATATATAGCAAGGCCTAGACCGCAGTAGACCCTGCCAACTGACGGGGATCCCAGCTGCAAGGGTGCATCATGCATTGCCAGGTTGGGAGTCTTGTCAACCAATGGGCCCCCCCGCAGTAGGGGCTTGCTACTAGTATGCCAGTACAGGGGGAGCTCAGGCTGTCCCTGCACTGGTAATAAGGCATGACAGGATCTGAAGCTGGATCTCGCAATCACAATCCCTGCCATGCACATGTGGCATGGTAAGAGGTATGATTGTGTGGATTGCAAATCAGACCCTATCACACCTTTACCTGAATGGTTTAAGTGATACCTGATAGATAAGTAGATTTTTGGGGAAATAAAGAACTATTAAGTAGTGATAGGAGAGCTAACCCTTCAAAAAACAAAATAAAATAAAATTCAGAGTGTATGCTGGGTTCAGATAAGCATCCAGAAGCTCACGGGCTTATCTGAAGTTTATCCTCTAGCACTGAAAAATTCAGGCAGGCTCTCTCACGAGAACAGCCTTCCCGCACCTCAGCTCCCAGTCCTAACTGGAAATACAGAGAGGCTTATTCTTCACCTTTTAACATCTTGTGTAATCACTTACCCCTACCAAAAATGGGACGTAAATATGATATGCTGTAGTGTCAGGATGCCAGCATTTTATACCTGCTTTGAAGAGATGGAAGTGACAGCCCAAATTACAAGGCAGTGAAGACATTGGGTCACAAGTTCAGAATTTCTCACTCTATTCCAGTACTTTGGTTCTGACCCCCCAAAACACCATATTTACTTGAATCTAAGATGACCCCCACTAATTAAATTCTCTATTCCAGACCTCCTCGGCAGGGGCTGGAGCCCAAGCAACAGCAGCTGCCTGCCTCCCCACAGCCCTTATATACAAATCCAAGACAAGGGGCTCTTCCCCTCATGGTATATGGGGCAGGGGGAAACCTGGTCTTAGAATCAAGTAAATACGGTATGATAAACCTCTAGAAGGCTGCAAGCTCCCCTCCCAGCAGTGTGTTTAGCAAACTTAGCACCTGAGTTGCCTTCACCAGTTTCCTGGCCTTAAAATTCAAGCAATGAAACTGGTGACCTCAAGTGACCTTATTTCTCCAAACTGGAGGCAATATAGCCCAGACTTCCTCATGAAAGAAATTAATCCCATATTTTTGAGTTACTAGAGCTCTGATGACCTCTAAGGACAGGTCAGAGCTTAATCCGGGAGTGTCTTTGCCCCTCTTGTTCTTCAGCATCCTGAGCACACAAGATCCCAAGGTTTTAACCTTGGGGATATGGGAATTGTGTCCATCATGCCCCAGTTACAAGCTTCTGTACTAGACTGGATGTTATGGAGAACTGGAAAAGGGCCACTGGTTTGGTCACGCGCTCCCATCAGCAGCTTTAGAAGTCAATGAGCTTGGTGAACTCATGAGAGGTGCTGGCTGTTAAATATCATGAGAATTATTAGTCCTGTGTTTTGGCAAAAGGACCAAGAGCTAAATCCTAGTTCACGTTTGTGTGTTTGAATGGCACTGGTGTAGCCGGGTGACTGCATTTTTGGGTCTCTATGCCATTTGGATTCTCTTTCCAGAGCAGGACTGCCCCGGTCCATGGATACCTGCTGGAAGTAAAAGGAGTCACCCTCTTCCTCCAGCCTTCTAGCCTAGTGGTTACAGTGCTTGTCCAGGGACAGAAAACCCAGGGTTTGGGCCCCACTCACCCACTGGGGAGTTGAAGCTGCAGATCAATGACCGGGCCATCTTCAGATGGTCCACTGGGCAGCAAAGAGGGAGAAGATAGGTTGGCCAGGTTGGAGGGAATGCAGCTCGGTGTCATGGCTCCTACACTGGAAAAGAGAAGCCCTTGGGCTGGTCCTGGTCCCTGACCCCAGTGGCTTTTCTGTATCCTCCATTTAATATTAATCAAGCAAAAGGGCTCAAGAGCTATGGGATACTTTCTGCTGCAATGGTTAGAGCCAGAATCCAGGGCTCACTTACTGAAATCTCCCTCAGTCACACGCTAGCTTGTTCTTTTCCTCCCAGCCCCATACATCTCCCTCCCTTGGCTGCCCAGTCACAACACACACCATTGATTTTTGGCATTAGTGCCCAAATCCCTCCCTGATCTACCTCACTGGAACACAGGTACTTCTTCACAACACCCACAAAGAGCAAGTACACAGGAACCTTTTAATTGAATTAGACAGTCGTCTTTGTTCTCTATCCAGGAGTAGTAAATAGATGCATTCAACCCTGCTGTGAACACATCTTTGATCCAAAGCTTGTTGGAGTCAACAGCAGTCTTTTTCCTGACTTCAGAGAACTTGGGATGGGGCTTTTCCTTAATAAGTCTCATGACCTGGTTACTCCCATTCCTCTCTTCATCCCCTTTCCCTGACCCAACTGTGTTGTTGCCCCTCTGTTAAATCATGCATGAGACTAGACTATAAACCCTTCAGATCCAGGGGCTGGGTGTTACTTGTCGGTACCATGAACTGTCTAGGATGTGATACGGTTACAGTAAATCAGTCAACTGCCCTCTGATACTGTGAGGTTGTCCCTCCAGTTTGCTTACTGGGAGGGACCAAGGGCTGGAAGCTGCTCCCATTGTGCATTTTGTGTGCACAGAATTAGGATTTCATTCTCCAGGATTTTCATTCCAGTTCCTTTACATCCACGGTCTCCCCGCAGGGTCTCACCTTTTGACTCCATGACCTGAGCCTCATTCACGTGTGCTCATAATTTCTCGCATATAGCTGATGTCTGTCTTATGTGGCTTCTCTTTTAGCCAAGAAATCAGGTTACTTTGCTGGGTTTGCCCACCAATCAGCTCAACAGATACCAGGCACCTTTATATTCTCTGTTCAGTGTCACTCATGTTCCTTCTGTGTCTTTGACCCTTATATAACACTTATCTTTTTACCTCACTTGGCCCTAGTTCTCCATTTGGTCCTTTTCCTCTAATGACCATCTCCTTTGACCCCTCTGACCCCAGCTCACCTCCTGCCCTTCAGGCAGGGGGCTAGACCCGATGATCTAGCGAGGTCCCTTCTAGCCCTAATGTGTATGAAATCTAGAATGGGGCGATCTTTGTTGACTTGTGGAAAGCTTCTTCATGAGATCTTGGGTTTTCATACACGGCAAGGCCAATAAAGCTGGCTCTTCTACCAAGCAACAGGTGCAAGCAAAAAAAATTAAAACTCCTGCACAGCACTAGAGTATAAAAACCCCTCCAGCCAAAAATCAGCCCTGGCATGAAACCCCCTAAGTCCGATGGAGCTGCACCTTCTTGCATTAGGCAAGGGGGATTGGACCAGGGCAGCTGTGTGTCATTTCTGGACATAATAATTTAGCACCTATTTTATAATGATGGAGGACAGGTGAAGAGAGAGTGGACATGGCAAACTGAAAATCCTCACTGTGGTTGAAATGAACTTTGGTGATCTAGAAATAAAGTAAGTGGAGGGATCAATGCCATTTCTGCAGACAGCATTCTGGTACCGCAGAAGTGGGGCCAGGGCATGCCCATGGAGGAAGAGGGTATTACAATGCCCATGGGGTGTGCCCTTGCATGTACTGTGTATGGGACAGTCTTATTCTGCAAATACATATTTCCTCTGTGCTGGAAAAACAGCATCACCTCAGAAACAGGCAGCTGCTGCTGGTGCCATTCCAAAAAATCACTTCACTTGCTTTGGCGCTTGGATTGTGGCTGCTATTGCTGCTCCTGTCACTCAAGAAATTAATCTATGTTTGGGCTTCTAAATCCACAAGTGTTGAGCTAACCTTGCTCTTCCTGAAGGACTGATGTGGTAATGGAAAAAAGCAACTAAACATTGTAAAACCAGCTGCTGGGCAGAAATGGGGCACTGGACAGGACGGTGCTGAGATTTTTTTCTGTGTGGGATAAGACCTGGTACAATGGGATACTTCACAAAGATGGAGGATTGAAACGCAGTTTGGGCCAGCCCATAGCTATGGGTAGTGGTCTGTGTGCAGATTGGATTGGAGACCTGGAAAAGCAGGGCAGAAGTCCATGGACCGTTACAGGAAGGAGAGGAGGGCTGCTTTTGAAGAGAAGCATCCTTTAAGGTTCAAGCAGTGATGCTTTCTGCCTGGTTTGTCCAAGTTCCCCGAGGTCAGATTCCCACTCTAATGAATGCGAGAAGGATGCATCTGGAAATAGGAAAGAAAGAACAGCACTCAGAGGGAGGAGAAAAGTTGGCCAGATGTTACTTCATGTGACCTAGCTCTATAGCTGCTACAAGGAAGGAGCGGCGGTGGGATGGGAAGCATCTCTGAAAGGCACGTTGCCTTCCAAAGGGTTCTGCAGACTGAAAAAGTCCCAGAAATCAGCAAGATCAGTAAAACAGACTTTAACTACATGTTACAGGATTAATCAAATGCCAGTAATGTTTGTTTGCCAAAGGAGGCACAGAATAAAGGTGATGGATAAAGAAAGTAAATTACAGGACTCAGCGGAAGATGCAGTTAACAGGAAGAAAAAAAAAACGAGGCGGCTCAGGCAAAGAAACAAACATTAACAAACAGTTGAAAGGAAAGCCAGATCAGATAGCAAGCCAATGCTTTCTGCCTCCTTTGGATCCCAGCAAACCTGCCTCCTGGTATCACTTTTAAGCCACCCCTTGGATTTTAACCAGCTGACTATTTGGCTATTTTTAGTGTGCTCATTCTTCTGGGCTTTGCAGACATAAAGGCAATTAAGGACACACAGGTGGGGTGTTGTGCTCCTTCACCAGCCTTTTCAGATCCACCCCCTTTTCCACTGATAGAGGCTTAGCAATAAAGATTGATATACACACAGTGGCGTGGGTATAAGGAGATGGCAGTGTCTATTTTCATGGTAGAGCCACAGCAGTATGCCTGGCTGACTGTCACTGCTCTACCGTGCAATGTATAGTGACACCAGTATCAGCGTCCTCTCACCCCATGGCCATCTGCGTATTTTTATGCACATGCAAGTCTACTTCAAACAGCATTAGGCCTGTGACATTCTGCCCCCGTGTATTACAGCCACTCGAAGACAGGATAACCCTTGCCAGCTCCCACCGCAGCGATCAGCGATTAGCACAGTGCTAGCTAGTGTAAGGAAAATGCAAGGCTCTCTCCTTACACTATGCATGTTACTTCACTAACTGTATGCTCAAGTTTCAGTTGTTTGGGTTGGGTTTTATACTATTTAAAACATAAAAAGGCTCAGCTTCCCTCCGCAAGCATATGCGATCAGAGATACTCCCAGCTGCACCCTCTGAACTCCCTGGTCCCATGTAGGCTGCCAGTTCTGACCTCTGACACAGGAGAGGTAGGGACCAGCCCTTACCTGCCTGAAGTCAGCACTGCATCACTGCAAATGGAGAACTAGCCTGCTGCTTAGCAGCTAAAGATGAGCAACCCTCATTTTTGCCCCCGCCCAGAAAGAATGAGGGGAACAGAGAGATGCCAAAAATTTCTCAAGAACCAGGCTTAACCAAACCTTTATTTGAACTATTCAACAATGGTCCTGCCGTCAGTAAACCACCTGGCTGCAGCTCACAGCACAGTAAGTGGGGGGGGGACCTCGGTTTCTGCTGCGTGGGGGTGAGCGTGAGGACAGCTGACAAGGAGGTACCGGTTGGGGTCTGAGCTCCCTGCTCAGGTACTGACTCCCTGCAGGATGCCCGTGCTTGTCAGCAAGACGACCTAGTGCTCAATGTTAGTTCCACCATGCAGCAAGAACATCATGTCAGACCCAAGGTCCACAGCCTATCCAATACAATAAAATACAACACAACGAACAACTTGTCCGAGAGCAGACACAAGGGCCTGCTGCTATGCCTGGACTATTCATCCCCTTAGGTCTATTTAATTAACAAAATACAGAATACAACCGAGGACGTAGCTTAAAGAGAAACAGGTAACTTTGACACAGAGCATTGCCCTAGTGAGACCTATGCACGCTTGTGTGCAAACCCTCTTTTCCTGGGCCCAGGAGCATGTGTGGACTCTTTAAACTTGACAATCATAAATTTACCTTTAAAGCTTTATACTCCTAGTCTCAATACCCCTACACATAAAATGCAGGTGCTACTAGCTGCCCGTTTCACACAGGGACTGTAAAGATTCATGTATTAGGTACAGGTGCACAGGACTCCTAATGAAGCTGTGGCCAGGCCTCTAAGGGCCATGGACAGCAATGCTTTATATAGGACCTCTAAGGGCCATAGGCAGCAATGCTTTATATAGTGACAGGGATGTTTTGAAAGAAGCTGTCATAAAATATGACCCACAGGAATCTCAGCCAGGACCAGCTCAAATAAAGTCAGCAAATAAGTGGGCTTTAGGTGTCTGAAAGAAAGGGTCCTTCTCCCGTACCTGACAAAGCTCCATCTCCGTTGAATCTAGCAGCTGCTGTTGAAGGTCCCGGGTCCCAGTTCACATTGACCTGTGGAGGAAAAAGAGTTATAAAACATTCTTCAAATGACTGTGATGAATGCAGGGAAAGGAGGGGCCACATCCTTACTGGGTGTAAATCAGGATCCCTGCAGCAAAGCCAGGGAAATTAGGCTCATCTAGATCAGAGCAACCAGCCTGAGGACTCTTGCAGGGAGCTTTTCCCTTTGGTTTAAACTTGGAAGTTAAACTAATTATGTGAATGAATGTGTCCGGCTGCTGCAATATCAACCATTTGAACGCATTTAGCCAATGAACTATTAAGTACAGTATATCTTTAGCCCTGTAGGAGACAATAACTTCTCTTCTGTGACAGCTAATCATTGTTACCTCAGCTTTGCTCATTCAGTCTCTTTAATGGAGATACACCCACTTATAATCAGCCCATTCTTACTCAGTCATGCATAGTACCATCTCCAAATATACATATTTCCACTAATTACCAGTTCAGCTCTCACTTACATTCCCATTCGAGGAATGATTCAGTACTGAAATGGGTCTTGGCCGAACAAGAAGCCCATCGCGTACTCCCTCTTATTTAATGCAGCAGCGCTTTGCTTTAATTTGCGGAGAGTCATAGCCATTCATCCACTAGGCAGAGGAACCATCTCAGCAGTCACCTCTCACCATATTGCGAACCCACCACAGTGCTTCTATATAGGGTAAGTTTTAGGACGGTAATGACCTAACGAAGTGGGTTATCGTAAGTGGTGCGGGGACTTCAGAGCACAAATTCCATTGACTGAGCTGAGCTGCTCTTGAAAGCCTACTAACTTAGTAAGTAATAAAAATATTTCAATGCAAAGCCTCTTCAGAAACTATGATTTAGTGTCTGAAATACTACACCCACCCACCCTTGTTGTTTATATGTTTGTAATCCCATGGTGGGATTTGGGGGGGGGGGGGGGGGACGGACAAAGGGGAATTGGACCCTTGTGCTTTGGAGTGTAACGGGGTTTCACGGCACCATCCCAATCCACCCTGCTATATCAACATAAGCAGGCTCCAAGGTCAAACAATTCAAAGCCTCTTATGCATTTCATTTTGGGGTTCACAGAGTGCACTGGAGTGAACTCGCACCCCAGCAACTGCTGCCGGGCAAAAGAAACTCCCCAAGGACACGGGTAAGTTTTACCTGGGGTGCAGAGGGAGCAGCAAGGGCTGTGGGTGGAGATACAACAATAGAAAGAGTTAACCAGACAGAGGGGCAAGGGACTGGGAAGGGAGAACAAGGATGGGATTCTGGTCCAGCTGGTAGCTACCAAAGTAAAACGAGGGGAACTCAGATTTTTTTCTGAAGCAAGAGGATTCCAAGAATTGGTATAAAACGGTCAATTGAGCAGAACAGACAAATAGCATTTTTATGCTCTGGGTAAAGTGATATGGTGGCAATAAAGGCTCATCTTTACTGAAACTGAGGCAAAAAAAATATAAAGTCCATAGATTGCTAGTCACCCTGGAGCACTTCACAAGCTTGTTGACAGACACAATCCTTAGGTGAATCTTAGTCTTCTGTTTTAGTCTTCTAATCCCCTGTGCAGTGGGGATGAGGACATTAGGCCTCCAGGCTCCAAAACTGACAGCCAATATGTAGGTTAAGCAGATCCCTGTGCGGTGGTAGCAGGCCCCATGATTACTCTAGGGTCTGCCTAGTGGGAAAGATTCTGTCCCAAGCTCTTGCACAGGTTTAGCTCAGGTCTTCCTACCATGCTTATAAACAGCCCCCGCACTGGGTTTATCTGTGCTTTGAGATCGGGCTTGCTTGTCCATCTGGGAGATCAACTTGGTGCCTGCTTCTCACTCTAAGGTAGCCTTTGATCCACCTCCTTTGCCATAAGTATACAACAGCCTGGATAGCACAACTTGGCCTTTGATAGCCTTCCAATGCCATCTCACAGTTCCTCAGGCTTCTTTTTCTGACATCTCTCATTTGCATCCCATATGCAGGAAGCTATCAACTCATTTATAAGGACCTGGTTGACATTTATCTTTCATTCCCCATGGTTTGGTGCAGTTCTACAGTGCTCCATTTACCCGAGCCAGACAACACTAGAAGATGGTCAGAGTTGACCAAAGGAGCCTACCTGGCTTCTGTAGCAAGCTTCAGCACACGTGATTTTGTGAGATACACTCAAAGTAATCATTGTAGAGGTGGTTGGTCTCCTGCCAGCCTGCCTCAGCCTGCTTCACACCCTGGAGTCCTGGTGACATCCCCCACTTTCCTGCCATGCCTTGGGTCTCAATTACCAGTCTGGGAGGCAGCCCTCAGATCACCAGAGTGAAACCTCAGCTGCCTTTCTTTGCCTTGCTCATCACAGGACTTCCTCTGTTTTCGCTCAGTTCAAGTCATGATCTATCCACACAGGGATTCCTACACCTCGCCGAGCCCACATAAGTCCCAGGCTTTGACAAGCCCATGTACAGTCTATTGAGTAGGACAAAAGGGTAAAAAGAGAGCCATGCCCACACACAACCTGCACTGACCCCAGCAACCAGTGGCTTCGTTTTTCTCTTACCTCCTCCCATCATAGCCTAATTCTATCAATCCAACCACCTCCTTCTCCATCAATTCAGTCCCAGGTCCTGGTAGCCCATATTATGCTTGAACAGAAGCATGCTCTGCACTCTTTTCCAAATGCCCTCTGTAGCCTTCCTCCTCCCCCAGGAGCCATCCCATGCCTCAGAGGTGTAACGATGCAGCTAGAACTCTGGGGCAGCTGCCACACACAGGGGTAATGGTGGCTTCTGGTTGTCACTGCCACTGGTGTGATTGCATGGTGGTGGTGGCTACCATTATTTCCGTACCCCCTCATGTTGGCACCTTAAGCAGCCACACTAGTTGCCCCACACTAGTTCCAGCACTGCCTCGCCGCATATCCACCCACAATAATCAAAACCAAAACACAATCAACTGCAACTGCAGTGCCTTTCTCCAAGCCCTCCCCAGGCTCCTACTCATTTCTGCTGGCTTCTCCCAGCTCTGCCCTTCTAGAACATGTCATTGCAATCGCAGTGCTGCCCCATGCATCATGGGTGCCCTACTATGCCTCTGACAGCAAGGCAAAGGTTGCCAGCAATAAGCAGGACAACTCTTGGTCTCCCTGCCTACTCTGAGGAGTCTGCCCAGATCTTCACTACCTCCCAGGGAACCTCTCAGTTTCTAGCAGAGGCTCTGGAGGTGGGATTTTTTTTAAATTCAGAGGAGAGGCAGAGAAGGTAGGGATTGCTACAGAAGGAACTCAAAAGAGTCAGTGATATTTTTGGGCAGGGAAAACTTCCACAGGGTGCCTCCGCACTAGTCCCCTCCACTCACTGATGTGTTGGTTAGACTGCAGAGGGGAAGAACAACCCCTCCCATAGCGAGATGGTATTCCACCACGGTCCTGAAAAGTCACTTCCTCTTCCATTTCAGGACCTTCAGCAGATTAACTAAGCCTTACTTGGCCCGAAATACTGCTAATGACTATGCAGTTGACAGGTCCCACTCCCTCCAATAAGGTTCAAAATTACCTTCTAAATGAATTAAAGCTGAAGTCCTTACATGCCCAGGTACTGACATAGCTAGCAGCAGCTCTTGAACAGGCTGATGTGTGGAGATGGAATAAGGACAAAATAAGTGAATAAATGTAGTGGATTCTGACCTTGCAAGCTCTTCCACTTCTATTAGACATGGGCAACAACCCTGACCTCTTGGGAGACAGGACCATGATCCAGTAGGAGAAAAAGGAGAAGGCTGCAGGAGAACCAGCTGCATGAAACGCACTGTGACTTTGGGCACAGGTCAACATAGCCCAAGGAGTACCAGGAGGAGGAGTGGGACACAGAAAGTTAGAAAGAGAAGAGGGAGGACAAAATGATGGTGGAGTATCTTGGCATAAAGGAAGGATCATAAAATCATAGGAAAGTAGGGCTGGAAGGGACTTCACAAGGTCATCTAGTTCATCCCCCTTCTCAAGGCAGGATTATTCCTGACTAAATCATTCCAGCCAAGTGTCTGTCCAACCTGCTCATGGAAATGTCCAGAGATGGAGACTCCACAACTGCACTAGGTAGCCTGTTCCAATGCCTGAGCACCCTTGAAGTCAAAAAGTTCCTCCCAATTTTCAACCTAAATTTCCTCTATTGCAGCTTGAGGCCATTGCTCCTAGTCCTGCCCCTATAGCCACCAAGAAAAGCCCATCTCCATCCTCTTGATAATCACCCTTCAGGTGTTTGAAGACTGATCTCAGAAAAGAAGACTCAGTCTTCAGTTCTCTAAACTAAATAACCTCTTTGGGGACTTAAAATAAATAAATAAATAAAAGCCATGCTTCCCAAGGCTCCAGTCATTTTTGTTACTCTTTGCTGGACTCTTTCCCATCTGTCCACAAACTTCTTATGGGTTAGGAGGTCACTGCTGGAGCAGCATTTTTGCGATCTACTGCCACACGTGGTAAATTTACTGTGTAGACAGGACTGAGTGACGGTGCAACCCAAATCCCAGAGATGCCAACAAGAATGCGGGTCACTTGCACAGTTAGTCAATGGGTATTTCAGTGCAGTGGTGTTAGCATCCTGATGTAGGGACACTCAAGAAAGTTGACATGAATTCACGAAAGGCAGCTGGACTGTAAAGCAGCCTAGTTCTATTGCATCAATGCCCCGTGTGGACAGGCTTACTCAGAATTTAAGTGGCCTTAATGTAATGTAATCTGGAAACGTATAGTGGAGTTTAACTAGTCCATTTTAAAAGTTAAGCCAGGGCAGGGGAACACAAACAAGTTGCTATGAAAATGAAAAAGGCAGGGATCTACTGCATATCCATGGCTCCATGGAGACTACCGGCATGCATGCTCTTACTCCATAGCAGATGAAACCTAAACTGCAATAGCTCAGCCCTCTGTTATTGAAAGGCCATTTCTCCACCACAGGGCTGAGTGCAGCTATGGTGCTATTTCAGCAATCTAACTAAAGCAATGGTCCTATTAAACATGGGCACCATGGCTGCTCCTCACCACATTGTCACCCTCTGTGCTGTCCTATGTAAGAGACGCTGTATGTGATGAGCTGGGAGAACTGTTTGGATAGCATAAATCACACAACAGCCTTTATCCCAGCTGCCCACTGCAGTCTGACTGCATCCGCTCTATTCAGAATATAGTACCCTCATTCACACTAACAGACATCCACTTTTTAAATAATATTTAGTACTTTCCAGGCCAGATTCTCTGTTGGCATCACTCCATTGACTTCAGTGGAATTAATGACGCCAGTAGAGAATTGCCCAGATTGCTTTACAAGTGTTAATCAACCATAATGATGCTCCTTCAAGGTTGGTCCCTACAGTGACTATTACTGCAATCATTTTAGAAATGAAGACCTGGAATTGGAGACAGCAAGATAAACACCTGCCCAACCCAACTCAGGGGGCCCAAGCAAAATTCATGGCTCTGCCTCTGACGTAATGCATAATACCAGATAGTTCACTACAGGCTACAGTGACTCTCTGCTCCAACACTAACTTTTAAATGCTCTGTAACACAAAGCATGAGTTAGGTGCTTGGGCTCCCTATACAAAGCATTGGAGGAGGGAGTTAAGCACCGGAGAAGGGGAAACACAACAGTCAGTATGATATGCAGGGTCTAAGCTAGCCAGTAGGAAAGACTGGATTTCACACCCCTCCTCTCTGTTTTGGGTCCTAGTAGACTCTTTTAATATTAGAAGGAGAAGCCGATGATAGAGGCAGGTATTTCTCTGAAGCAGCCCTATTTGTTTATAAAGAATAGACCCAAAGCCCTGGGGGTTTTTTATTGCAGTAGAGATCAAAAAAGCAGCAGACAGCTGTTTTGGCACAGTCCAAAGCCTCTTTTAACCAGAATCTCAACCTCCCTTTCTTCCTTCAGTATTTCCTTTAGGTTATGCCTCCAGTGCCCTTGTGCGTGTGACATTGTCTTTCTTCTGCTTCTCCCTCACACATGGAAAAAACAGTGCTGCTAACCATTGCCTTAGTTCTCATGTTTGCTATATCAGTCCCTAGGGAAACCCCTTGGATCACATGGTCCAGCTGCTACTCAAGCCTTGTCCTGTGCTTGCATTTTATGTGCTGTTCCCACGCAGTTATCTGCTTCTAAAGAGGAGCTCACTTGCTCTTCACTCTTATCCTGAATGAAGGGCAGCACTCCCCTTCAGCAAGCGTCTGTCCAACCCACAACACCAGGGGTGCATCTACATGTTCATTAACGCACTTTTGCTAATGCACATTAAATGTAGTACCTGCATTGTGAGGTACTAGAAAAAGGGCGCATTAGTCTGCTTTAATGTGTGTTAGCAAAAGAGCAGAGTGTTTTTGCGATGCTTTAATGTGCATTAAAATAGACTGATTCACATTAAAGCACGCATGCAGATGCACCCCGTTGCTTATTTGTGTTACATGAAATCCTCACAGATCTCAGGGCCTTTTTATGTCACTAACTGGTTACTGTGCAAATGCTTAGGGAGAGATGATCTTGCCCTGAGAACTTGCATTTCATGTGCTCCTTGACACTGGGATTTGCATAAGTTCTCAGTACTGAAGTTAACAGACTCCTCTGCCCTCACTCCATGAACCATCAATACTCTTGCAGGTGGGGGAGAGCTGAATATTGAGATCAAAATCCTTTGTGAAGATGCAAGAGAAGACAGCTCTGTTTAACATACCTCAGGAAGTCAAGGAAGCCACCTGAGGTACAACCCTAACCTGAATATGGCTCGGTGGCTAGGTTTTCGTAGGCAGATTGTTCTTTCATCTAATTGATTTCACCTATTTTATATACATCCCTCTTAGATTCTCTTATGTGAAGCCGCTTCCCTTTGTTCCTCTTAGCCTTTCTGAACAGCATCATCTTCCACTTTCCTTCATAGTAGAAACACTTTGTCAGAGTACCAAGGTCTCTTTTCTTAGTATGAATTAGCCTGATTAAACTTCTAAAATCAGGGGTGGGCAAAATGTGGCCCATAGGCCAGCTCTAGCCCACCAGGCCATTTTATCCAGCCCATGGGGCCTCTAAAAAAATTTAGAAAAATTAATATTTATCTTCTCCTGGCTGCCTGTCATGTGGCCCTCGATGGCTTGCCAAAACTCAGTAAGCGGCCCTCTGCCCGAAATAATTGCCCACCCCTGTTCTAAATTAACACGGAGGCCTACGCCATGTGGGTGGAGGGTCCTCATGGTTGCACGCTGCCCAGGCTAGGATGGATCAACCCTTCATTCCTGTGGTGCATACCAAACTGCAGAGACAAACAGGATGGCACAGACACTCAACCACTGATTCCCACCCCTGGCCATTCATCAGCTTGTAGACTGAAACCTTGGCCCCATTCTCCACTACACAACAACCAATTGAGTACGCAGGGGTATCATCAGGTTTCTCTACCCACAGTTGTGGTAGTCCCTTGCATTCGCCAACCTCAGCTTTGGGGTTTTGTGAGCTGTATCCAACAGGGAGAAGGGAAACGGTGTATTTACACCCTGTTATGACTCTCCAGTTCCAGGCACTCATTTAGTTACATCATGCTTGAGACTGCTTTCATTTAGATCTGGATATTCTTGAACTCAGATGGACTATTGCAGATACTAAGAACACTTGAGATGTAGAAAGACTCCAGCCAGACTCTTCTAGGCTAAATGCCAAACACAACCACTCCTTTGCCTACCTGAGCTGCTTCCAGAAACTCCCTTTCTTCAACACCCAGAGCTTTGCTTCAGCCTCCTACTCCAAACCCTATACTGCACCCATTTGCAGCTTCCCTCTCCATTCCTAATCAAGAGCACTTGATCCCATTAAAGCTGAACCTGCTAATTGAAAAAGGCTGGGTGGCATTAAGCCTCTTGGTCCTCAAAGGCCACCCTGTTACAGCCACCCAAGACATATACCTACTCATCTTGTTTATTAGGCTGCATGTTTGCAAAGAAGCTACCAGAAAGAAAGATAGTCACTGAAATGACTCTGAAAACTGAAAAGCTCCAGCAACACTGTACACAAATAAAATATTCCCAGTGAAAGCAGTGTCAGCATCACCTCCCCTGGATCAAAAGTCATGTCAGGGATGATATCAAAGTGTAAACACTTTGCAAGAAAAAAACCCGAAGCCTTCCAAACTGTCTTCAAAGAAGCCCAGAGTCTGCACAGACAATGCCTCTGCACAGCAGTGATGGATCAAGAGGCAATGTATTTCCTTGCAGAACCTCTTTGCTGCTGCCATCTGAGCGCTATCACTTTCAAACCACTGAGACAGTTACTTTAGGGGGAGAAAAAAACACTGTTGCATATAGTATTGGAAATCAAGTTCGATTCAAAGGAACTCTCCTGTTGTCAGGTACAGAGTTTCCTTCGGGATGACAGAAGTGAGAGCTGTGCTGTCCCTGCAGAAAGAGATCAAGCTCAGGTTTGGAAACGCAGATGAGAAATCTTTTCAGTGCAGAACTCGCAGGAGCCAGCAAAGATGGCTGCTGGGACTGAGATGGGGCAGGCAAGGCATCCTTTCAGTGCTGAGCTCAATCCCAACCTAGCAGCGACTGCTAGGCCCATCTTGTTGTTACCGTTCATTTCCAGGAGCCTCCACCGTGCAGCTGGCATTTGCCAAACTCTCGGGAAGGAGGCTCCCAGCCCTGAAGAACTCAATCAGGCAGATAAGTAGGGAGAAAGAGAAAAGTATTGCAGAAATGACAAGCAATACATGTTGTGAGCTGTCCGAGTCGGTGCGTGTGGGGTGGATCTGTGTGGGTATGCCTACACTGCACCCTGGCACTGTGGCGGTACTCACTCTTGAACACCCCCTGCCCATCTGCTCCTGCCTGCGTGCCCCAAACTCAGGAATGCAGCCATGAAGTTGCTCCCTGCGTGCCATCCTGCAGCCAAGCTGAAGACCCCTGGGCATTTGTACACACCACGGGGGTTTACTTGGGTTTAATTCTCCCTAAATAGAAGTGGTGGGTCTTCAAAAACACCAATTTAGAGCAAAGTAAACCCCCATGGTGTGTACACAAGGGTCAGGCCCAACCCTTACCTGTCTCTCCAGCAGCGGGGAGGGGAGGGTGAGCTGCCAGCAGACCAAGCGGTCCCTGGGCTGCAGGGGGAGAAGAGCGGGGCTGGTGCTTCCCTCTGCAACAGCAGCGGCACCCGCAAGCAGGAAGGCAGGCTCCGAGGAGAAAAAAAAGAAAATTAAAGATCAGGCTCACCGCTTCTGGTTTTTTTTCCACTTCAGTGGAGCCTGTCTGCACAACCCCTGAGATGCATGGGGCCCGGTGCTTCCCTCCACGGCAAACTAAACTACCTCGGAGATGATTTATTTTGCTGCGTCCCAAAGTCATTTAATGCGCAATATGCCACCGACACATGCAAACAGCCCACCATTAAAGTGCATTACACCACCAACACGTGCAGACAGCTGCACCATTAAAGCGGTGCAAAAGGACATTAAACCACTTTAAAGACCAATTCTGTGGCGTGTACAAATGGCTGTCTCTAGCGTGCTTGAGGATAGCTATTGGAGGTGCTCCCTGGAGTGGGAGGGTGGAGCACATCAAAAGCACCCTGGCAGTAACAGGGACACAGGGTAACAAACCCTAAAGGTCTCTACACATGGATGGGGCACTGAGGGTTGTGTTACACATAAAGGAGACCTGGGAGAAGGTTGAGGTGACTGTGTGGAGCACAGAAAACCAAGTGTGAATTTAGAGACTGAGATGCCCTCTTCCAGCCAGTTGTGCACTAGTCTGCGGCTCTGGTGGCAGGGCCCGTGCTTTTGTAGCAGAAGGATGTGAGCCCGGCGGCTGCTTGCGGTGAAGTTCGGAAGTCACAGGATGCAGCACTGTGACACGTGTGACTTTCCTAAATGGCGCTAGATTAGTTATAGGGATGGTATCTGAATGCACCTGCAGCTAACGATCACGCTGGACCCTGGCATGCTCACTCTGTGTCTGTTCAGTTCAGGCAGTGGGTATAACACTGCAGAGTGTGACCCGTGTGGTTTATTGGTCTTTGTGCTTCAGCAGATCCTATGGATCAGCTGGAGACAAAGGGTCAGCCAGGCTGTGCTTAGGTAAGCGTTGCAAATGTGCTCTGTGTACAGTTGCTTGGTCTGCTGTTTCCTTAAAGGGATGAGAACCTGGCTCCCCCCATGGTATCAGAAAGCCTCTGGCTACAGGTGCAAACCAAACACTCCTCCAGATGGTCTGTTTTTAGTAGAAGGAAACTTGAAGGACATGAAAGCTGAGAATACAGTTAGGGATCGGCTGGCGAGATGTCACCAATTCTGATGGATGGGCCAAAAACAGGCTAGAAGAAATGGTAAAGAATGAAATACATATCTAACCCAATTTGAAATGAAAGGCATCTTGCTATTCTCTTTTTTGGAAATTACAGCAATTTTCATCTTTGGAGAATTTACCATCTCCCAGCAGGACTGTGAAGACAAAATCCTGCTTGTGAAGTCTTCGGTATTAATACCACCCACAACGTGAATAATGGTGCATATGTGACTAGGTAATTATGTCACTCCCATTACTTTGGCACTGGGGTGTTTCACAGTCTTTAATGTATTCATCCTTGCGACATTCCCCTGGAGCAGGTACAGAAAGGCAGATCTGCAAAACTATTTAAGCACCTACTTCCCATTCATTTTTAAGTGTGTCAGGACTAAATGCTTTTGAGGATCTGGGCTTCAAGTGACTTGCCCAAGGTTAGACAAAGTTTGTGGTACAGAAGATAAATGGACATGGGTCTGGCAGACAGTGTCATAACCACTGGGCCACCCCTCCCTTTGCCAAGTAAAGGAAGGGATTTTACCTAAAAAGGAGGTTTTCGAGAACATCCTTCTGATGAAAGGTCCTGGACTGATAAACCTGGAAGTCTGCCATTTAGCCACAGTACAGGCAAAGGTAGGCAAGTGTCCCTACCTTGCTTCAACCCTTGGCCTAAAGACAATCTTGAGGGGTGAAAGCATCGTTCCGTCTCTATGTCCATTCAACGTTACGTGCCAGGACTGCCAAAACCATCTGCTTGAAACCTGTGGGAGAAAAGGTCCATTCAAGTTTCACCATCCTTTGATGCTTGCACCCATCATGTTCTGCTTTCCTGCAATACCGCTACTTTCCCACTGCAAAACCTGCATACATTCAAGTGGTCAAACAGCAGATGAATTGCAAAGACTCCTTTCACAAAAATGCTTAAGTGAAACAGGCTTTTAAACATTTATAAGAGAATCCAAAGTATTCATATTTCACTTTTTATCTGGATATTTCACTTGCCTTTAACCAACAAGGATGCTGGTGTTGCCAGAGGGGTTGCGTTGGTGACCTCCACTCTTTGGGAAATCACCGCACTCAGTTTCTTTAGGGCACTGAACAGCGATGAGAGGTGAGCCTGGCTCCTGGGTGAGGACCAGCCTTCCTCTACAGTATGGCAAACTGCCATAACTTTTACACCTCCATTTCTTCACCTGTAAAATGAGGTTGAGTCATTACAACCCTACACTAGTTTGAGCAAATGGCAAAAGTGAAGCTTACACTGATTTTCCAGGCCATCCAGTCCCTATGGTAAAGGTACATGGGTCAGTGATTGCATTACCAGGCTCTGCTTCTCACTAGAGGCTAGCTATACAGCACGGGCCTCACACAGCTGTGCTTTGTGTGGTTGCAGTTATAGAGACAGAGCAGTAATGTATGAGATATGTTTAGGCAGGTATTTAATCAGCTCATGGAATGCATTAAGCTTTAAACCTCAAAGAGGGAGGGATGGAGAGCCACCTGCCTCCAGTGCATCAACCCCATTGTGTGGTCCGGCGCAGAGAAGTGCAAACCCAAGGACCCATCTTCTCTCAACAGTCACCTGCACACAGAAATGCAAGATGTGGGAAGGATTTGGAGAAGACAACAGGACGCGTGGCTGAACTCCTAGCTGCAGCATGGCTGGAAAAGGCTCTCGTAAGAAAAAGCCATTGCATTTTTCATAGCCAATTGCTTTGCCAACTGGCTTTGTTTCCTTTCGTTCCTTGCTGTTCTTCCTCTCATTTCTAAGTGTTGCTTAGTTTCAATATTTCTCATAGAGAGTTCCCGCTTGTGCTGAGAGGGACATTCCCCTCTTTTGTCATTTTTATTTCTGTCCACGTAAGTACACACTGACAGAGTCTGATCTGCCCGTTATTAGTTTATGTTGCTCATCTGTTTGGTTCATGTGTTTGCAGCATATTATGCCTCAGTAGCAAGCTCCTTGTATTATTCATAATGCCTGAGGATCCTCCTCAAATTTCTTGACCTTTGAAATCTTATGTTTCTCAGAGATTTGTCTTCATCTTTAAGAAGCCCTAAATTGCAAACTTCTATTAAAAAAATCTTTAAAGTGATAATGTCAAGCTTGACAGGCTCCAGATAAACTAATGTAGACTTTACCTCATCGGGGGATGCTTGAAATAATATGTCTGCAAAATAACAGCTATCATGCTATCAATATCCCATCTCCTGAGCTGGCCTCCAAATCTGCAGCAAAGCTACAGTGATGGTCATGTGGTCACATACCAGAAAAATAATTTTGAATTGTGAATCTAAGGCTTGAGTTTTATTTACTGTTATTTATGAGCTCTTGTTAGGTGGTTTGCATTTGTCCAGGCTTTTGCTGGGTATTTATGAAAATGTTGATGAGTACTGACATTTCCACATAAATATATTCCTGAATATTGGTACCTGGATTCACTTGCTATTTAGTATTCATCTGTTAAAAATGG